GGAGCCCTGATGTAGTTACTTTTTTTAGGACCAAATCAAAACAAGCGCGGCCCTTATTGGTCAATTCGGTGATGGTGGCGCGTGCATAGCGCGAGACTGTATTTACATTTACTACTTAATTGTCATTTAGTGGCTAATTTTAGTCCATGAAATCAAATAAATTAGGCAAATGGGACTAATCTTGAAAAAAAATCTAAAATGTGAAAAAAATCCATTTGAAAAAAAACAATGAAAAAAAACCTGAAAAAAAACTAAAAAATCGGACCGTTTTTTTTCAAGTCGCATCTCCAATAATACGTAAATCCCACGTAGTTATATCGTTGAATTCTACGAATTATGCTTTATTTTATCTATCTATTCTGCACTTTATAGTTTATATATACACCTTGCATTGTAAAATTAAAACAATAAGATTTCCGTTCTCAAGCTGTTAACACCATTTCGAAATAAAGTTGCTTTTTTTAAAAAGTGTTTTCAACAAGAAAGTTATTTAATTACGTTTTTTAAAACATAAGAAACTAACGTTGTCATATAACGTTATAAACCTGGACATTTCAACATAAAATTATACAAAAAAGTTAGGTTAGGAAAAACGTTGTTTCTACGTAAAATTTCTACTAGGGATTCGTAAACCTAAACACACGAAATAATGCGGAATCTCCCGATGCACCTCGAGTACTTCGAAAATACTTCGAAGGTACATCAGAGGAACTTCTATAGTACTTCGGTGGTACTTTAAATACTTCGGAAGTACTTCGAATACTTCGGCTGTACTTCGACAAAAATGTACACCTACTTCGAAGAGTGAACCACCCCTTGTTATCAGGGCCGGATTTAAACTTAGTGCCGCCCCTGGGCACTGTTGAAAATTCCGCCTCAACAGTAAAATTTTATATAAAGTTATAGTTTTAATATCTTATTTTTTTTAATTAAAATAGCTAATTTATTGCAGAAAATTTATTATACATACTTCAATAACATAAAAAATATTTTTTCTGTTCTAAGAATTATAAATTTTGCACTAAGGGCGACTCATAATTGTATTTCGTTAATTTCACAGGCAAACACGCCTCCCTGCTTAAAATACCCCATAGAGACCCTGTTCAAACCGATAGATATTTGTATCGGGATGTATGGTGTTTCTATAGGGTGTATCGGTTTGTATAGGACCCGTAGTTGAGATTTATGGTTGTTCTATAGGGATATCCACCATTGATTTATTTGCTATCGGTTTCAATGGGGAAAATACACATAAATGTAGAAATTAGTTTTTTCCCTATAGGACCCTATAGGTTTTAATAAAATTTTGTCAAATGTTTTATGGTTGCTCTATAGGGATATCCCTATATATCCTTCATTGAGTTATTTTCTATCGGTCTCAATAGGGAAAATGTAAAAGTTATGGTGTGCCTATAGGTAATTTCCTATACATTTTCTATCGGGCTGTATCCCGAAAAACCCATGGACAAATGCACATATAGAATCCGGTAGCGCCCGATAGATTATTTTGTATAGGTCTCTATGGGGTATTTTAAGCAGGGCTTACTTTTTGAATTGCAAATTGGTCGATTAAATAAATCTTCACAATCTAAACGTTGAAGTACGTCTGATTCGATGGCATCGATGCATAGAATATATAGCTATGTATATAGAATATAAAGCTATAGCTAAGCTATTGAGTCTTTTTGCACTCATTGTTGAGCGTAAGTAGTTTTTAATTCTTTTCAAACATGAAAACGATCGTTCTACGCTAAAGTTTGTTACAGCTAATGAAATGAATATTCGATATGCGATTTCCACGTTCGGAAACTCAGTGTAAAGGTCGTTTGCATGCAAAAGTTTCAAAATATAGTAAGGTAATTTTGTTCTATCATTTTTTTGCCGCCCTGGGCACCAGCCCCGACTGCCCCTAGTGTAAATCCAGCGCTGCTTGTTATAAGTATAGGTTTATAAATATATGATAAGCCGTTTTACCATTGAACAGCACATTTTTTATCTAACATCATGGAGAATAATATACTCGAATATACTTAATAAAAATTGTTACAAAAAATAACCTAATATTGCAAAGGTGTTCATGTTAAATTTTAATTCAATAAATTATTTTAGAATGGAAACACAAGTATTATAATTTAAATATATTTTAATGTTTTTCCTATGGTTATATTAATTTAACTATTTAAAACGATGTAAAATATAACTTTTATTGCTGGAATTAAATGGTTTAAAGTGGTTCGACGTAGTAGCAAAAATGACCGGTAATATAAATTACGATGAGCGCGGTGGATATGAGTGCCATTTTGCCAATTTTTATTTTATTACGATAAAATTTTAACACAATATAGTAGATAGATGAAGCTACAAAATTTTGTTTCATTAAAATTGGACAATTGTTTACAGCACTTTGAATTTTGGAAATTTTACAATTTTGGCTAAAAAACTATTTTATTTTATTAGAAACAGGATTTTTGATTGAAGGTTTATAGCTACATTGCCAATGATCCTTAGGCCCAGTTGTATAACAGTTGGTTAACAGCTGGTTAACTCTTGATAATAATTATGTAATGATTAAGCTAACTTTTAAGTTGTATAAACATTGATTAAAATTTAATTAAGTGATCAACATACAATTAACAAATCGGTGAATTTTGTGTGGTTAACGCCGGGTTAGAACACACATAACCTTATATATATAAATATATATATATTATAAATGTCAACGTTTAAAAATTTTCATTATTTTTTTTGTTAGTAGGTAGTTGATGCAGATTTTTTTATAATTAGTAGAAATTGTTATTTTTCCTAGAAAACCGAAACTTTCGTGCTAGACCTGAATATTTTACAGATTTAAATATAGAAAAATACAGAAACAGATTTCGTCTTTCAAAAAATATTATAACTTGTTGAAATAACTAAACTAATACAAAATTAGCGCTTTCTTCTAGGCAAATGATTGAATTAACTTTACGATTTTTGGTAATGGGTTCATTTTGCATTCTACCTGTTTTTATATTTTTTAACTACCTATTCAAAGCAATAGCCAAGATTTTTTTCCACTAAAGTTAGAGAACCTTTTACCACAATCTTTCATTTTTGACCATCAAGCCTATGCTAAAGCCATTTTTTTGTATAATTTGTACAAAATTTTAAAACCTTTAACCAAAAACACAAAACACACCTGCAAGAAGAAATGTAAATAAAGCTACCTACTTACAATTGCACATAAATGTATGCAATAAATAAATAAATACCAATATACTTACTAAAATCTTCCTAAACAACAAAAATTATTAATATTAATTTGAGGACATGGTTAATTTGAAAATTTCGAAAATTATGACATGACAAATACGAAAATTTGGTGATTTTTTAGTGAATTCCCCTAAATTTGAAAATTAACTAATTAAAACATAACCAAGTGTTGCACAACAAAATTTTCTTTAACCAGCTATTATTGATTAATCCGTAATTTATTAATCTGTTGTTAATCGGAATTTTATTCAACTGGGCCTTATTAAAGTACCTATTTAACCCTTATGCAGGCGCACCTCTTTATGCAACGTAGTAGGTCGCGCGGGGTGTCAGAGACACCCCTGATGGCAAAGCGCCCCTGAGTGTTATTTACATTTTTTTTTGTTTTTTTTTAAGGTTATCAAGTTAAGATGAGCTGAGAGACAATGAGAACATATTTCGTTGCGTTCAAATTTGATAAAAGATGACAAAAAAAAAGAAAATGTCAAAAGACGACAATTTTAATCAAATAAAGCATTTATTTAAAAAAAAAACAAATTTTAAAAGTCATAATAATAATAAAAACAAAAAAACACTAAGCACTTAAGATAAGGTTTACTTTTACAAGTAATTATGATTTGGTAAAAAAAAGTCAATAGGGAGGCGAAACCCAGCCTGCTCACGGGGTGTCCACAGCACCCAGAGCCTGTTTAAAACAAAATATCAGACAACCTATTACATTAACTTCAAAATCGGCAATGTAATATGACTGAGAATACTTTGACAGGAAGGTACAGAAAGTAAGCGCCATTTATTCGAATCGAAGTGAGACCGGTAGCTATATTTAGGAAGCTGGGGTGTTTAGTACACCCCGCGTGCCTGCTTAAGGGTTAATTAACAAAGTATAGATGCATGTCAAAATCTCTTGAAAACTAAAGCCAATTGATCAAAATTATGGTCATTTTTGGAATCAGCACATCCAAATTGTGTACCTAAAAAGTTGTTCGCCACCATGTGGCAAAATTGTTGTTGACCAGTGTTATTTCAAAAATTAAGTTGTTTAACCCAAGTTTTAACCTTAAAATTGACCATTGGTATTTGTTTTAAACAAATTGTTTATTATTAAAATTTTGTAATTAATGGGTTTTCTAAATATCTAAAACGTTGCTGAAATAGAAATTAACCTGCATTATATATTTGGATAAACAAGAACTTTCCAAAACTACATATATAACACAATATAATAGTTATAATAGGTACCTACTACCTACGTTACATAGGTAATTGTGTAATTTCTTAATTTTATAATTTAAATAATTATACCTAATTGTGGAGCAATCAGACAAAAGTTATCAGCGAAAAACAAATATTTTTCGTTCTGCAACATTTTCACAAAGAACAACCCATGAATTCTATGGAGTATAGTGTTATAAGACCTAATTCATTTTTTTATTTTTGTACACCTGCATTATGTCTATAACACATTGTGTTATAGTAAAAAACCAAAATGAATTTATCTAGTGTTGCTTGAATTGACAGGATTTATCTCCATTTGCTTGAAATAGGAATAAAAAAAACCGTTTTATCCATTGACCTATACAGTGTGGTCCAGGATTAATCTGAAAAATGTTAATGCCATTTAAGTTAATTTAAAATAACAATAATGTGATTTTTTTTATTTTTATTGAAACAAGACTTTAAATTGTATTGGATTTATCTGCTTTTGTCTGATTGCTCCACAATTATTATAAGTGGGATAGTTCAATTACCTCTAATGAATTGAACAGGATTCAACGGTGAAGCAGCGGACAGGTAAAGAGTAAAGGTGAACACAAGCACACTACACAATAACCTATTTAAAAACATTTTAATTGCCAGCCAAACACTTTAAAATCACAGTTAATTTCTTTGGCAGTTAATACTGTCATTTTACAAACTGTTTTATTATTCTTCATCCACATATAGTAACAACTCTGTGTTCATACACAACACAAACTCAAGTCGACATAAAGTTTATGTCATAAACATATGTCGACTCGACTTCAACATTACCAAAACAGGTTTGTCTTCACCAGTGTTGCCAACAGTAAAATGTTAAAATTCTCAAAAACCTAAACAAAAATTCACCAGAATTCTCCAACTTTGCCAAAAAAATACTCTCCAATACTTTTAATAATTTGTAATATAAGGCTTTAACTACGGTTTCGCGAAAGGATCGAACGGTCGATTTGCAAGGGTTCAAGAAATCGATTGAAACTTTTTTACCTTATTTCTACATCTTAATGCAGTACTTTTTTCAAAAAAAAAATCTCGTCCATTGACAACTTTGTTTTTATTTTAATTTTTGAATGAAGAAATTTCATTTTTTTTAAATAACTTTTTTATTACAAAACGTATCGATTTGAAATTTGGACAAAATGTAGATCTTACTAATGACAATTAATCCATGAAAAAATTTTGTTTAGATTATAACGTACAGGGGGCGCTGGTGATAATTTAGTTTAAAATTTGACAATTTTTAAAGGGTAAATAATCGAAGAAGCAACTTTGTTTTATAAATTTGAGTATAGCACGTGAAAGTATTGATATTTGACTATTATTTGATATATTAACTTTTTTATGCAAATGATGTTTCTGTGGCCAGGATCAGTTTTGAATTAGCAGTAGCAGTATTCATAAATGCTTAGTTTAGTACATTTTGTCATTTTTATACAAATATTGTTTTATCTTTTATTAATAATTAAGTAAAGCATAACACATAAATGACGTTTAATATACAGGGTGTTTCACGTACTTAGTCCGTTGGAAGTTTCTAGGGAATCGCGAAAGATCGATTTAAAATTTTAATAGCGTAAAATATTCGCTTTAGACTCTTTTCCTAAATTATTTTAAACAAAATAATACTTCCTGTTTTACCAGAATACCTCATATATTTTTACATTATTTAATTCTACATAAAATTCTGAGTAAAATGGCTATACCATATCCTATACCTAAAGTCAATATTTTTTGAGTTATTATTATTTTTTCAATCAAATATTTTAATTAATTTTAAACAATGACAGATTTGGTGGTGATACTGTTACATTAAACCACATGTAGAATTTCAGAGGTTTGTTGATACAAAATAGTATTGAAAATATTAGAAATTGTTAAATGTCTCTGAAATTTTAACTTTAGGAAAGAGTTACTATAATACCAATCGAAAGATTCTTTAATGTTCTATTTGATTATGTTAAAACATACAGGGTTTTACATTTATAATAAAAACGTTGTTATTGTTTGAAGTTTGCCTAATTTCAAGTGGTTTTTCTCAAGGTATTTGTTGAAAAACCTTTAAAAAACTAAACAATGTTTTAATATTTCAAAAATTCCAACCCCATGTCAACAAACAAATTAAAGGCTATTTTGATTAACGTGCATTTTAACGAAAAAAATTAATATCTTGAAAACTATTGACTTTATGTATAGTCTAAATCAAATTGTATATTCTATTAAAATTTCAAATCCATACCGTTTGCGTTTCTCCAAAAACACCCTGTATAGCATTATATTAAATATAAAAAAATGCAAAATAACTAATTACAAAAAATCGAAAAACAAATGAATAAAAATATAGGTAGGTATATCTAAATAACCGATTGCAACATAAAAAGTCTTTATTCTAATTTATTTATTGGGTAAATATTACTTTCCTCAGTTAGGAATTAAAATTGAAGCTTGTTTATCGAGTAAAACATAAATTGAAGCTTGGTTGTGGAGCAAAAAATAAAATTAAAGTAGGTTATAATTTCTAACTTGCTGATACTCTCTATAATTATTATTTAGTGTATTCATTTTAATAAATTAATATTTTAAGTTTATAGTACACTTATAAATTGAAACGCAATCAGTCATTTGCAACTTATAAACTGAACTGTTAAATTATCTTTCATGCTTCCAATGGTAGGTTACCATAGAGATAAGTCTGTGATGCCTACTATGATCAAAATTAGTAAACTTAAAAAAATTTAAAATTTATAAATAAAACCAATTTTAGCTCCATCTATGGCGATTTTTTAAAATAAATATGTATGTTATATATAAAATATTGTATGTAATATATAATACATTATCTTATAAAACTAGTTAAAAGAATTTATAATTTGTAAAACACGTTAGTATTGCGCTCTTTGAAGGAATTAGTCGCAAACAATTTAGAAGATTCTCATGCAAATGAAACAGTAAAAAAAACGATAAACACAAGGGCACATAAGAAGCCATTAGTCACTCGGGTTACGATAAACATTAGGCAAAAGAAACCATCCTAAAGAAATTATTTATTTATGTTTACATCTATAGATTACGAAGACATAAGGGGTCATAAATTAAGTAAAAACCGTTAAGTAAGCGTACGCACAGTGGGAAAAAATAAATAATTCGAGGGTCGACAATTCCACCAGGTTAAACGAATTTCCACATAGTTAGAGGGCACTAATTACGGCGGGGTACGGCCGGCAACACTTCGGTTCTGAAGATAAGACTCAATCGCACAGGGGGGCAAACAATTCTAAAGCGGATATCAGGAACCGAAATCCGACTCGGACAGCGACGAACAGGAAGTACACCATCAAGGAAAGGCGCTAGCAGCATACTAATTCACCCACCCCCATTCAGGAATACCAAATGAATGGGGTTATTACTAAAGCCCTGGTTAAGGAGGATTCCGGATTGTACTTAGTTTTGGGTCAGTTCAATGTCCTCCAAAAACCCTTCCTAAACTGGACGTATGGCCCGACCCGGCTGACAAAAATTCCGGGAGCGGCCTTAACCTCTGACACTGTCATCCACGACCTCCTAGGGTGGATCTACCAGCCGGCGTAAAACTTCGGATCCAACAAACACAGGTAATGCTGTGATTTGGCGGGATACGCAGGAGAACGGAAAGGGGGTAAAATAACCCCGGGAGATAGTGGATGATAATATATTTGGGGCCTGCCATACGTTCCCATACTCATACTCATACTCATACGTTAGTATTGCGCTCTTTGAAGGCTTAACTTAAAAATGGTGTCTCTCGTAGAAACATAATTTGCATTTAGAAGTTTATATATCAAATAATAGTTAATTATCAGTACTTTAACGTGATATACTCAAAATTATAAAACAACGTTGCTTCTTCGACTTTTTAACCCTTAAAAAATGGTAAAATTTTAAATGAAATTGTCCACCGTGCCCCCTGCATATTAAAATCTAAAAAAAATAATACGTGGATTTATTGCCACTAATAAGGTCTACATTTTATCTTAATTTCAAATCGATACGTTTTTAAATAAAAATGTTATTACAAAATATCGAAATTTATCTATTTTTAACACAGTAGAGTGACTTAAGGCCTGAAAACCACAGGGGTCAATGGATGAAATTTTTTTTTTGAAAAAAAAGTACCATTTAGATGTACAAACAAGGTAACAAAAATATATTCAATTCTGGCATCACTTGCAAACAAATGTCCAAAATTTGTTCGATTTTTACGCGAAACCATAGTTAAAGTTTAAAGTTTAAAGCTTTTTATATAATAAACATTTTCTTTTAACATGGAAATAAGAAAAAAATATAGCTATACAGGTAGGGTTGCCACCCGTCCTCCTTTGTGGAGGACAGAGCTGCAACAAGTCAGTTTTAAAAAGACTTAAATCTTAAGTCTTAAGTCAATTCTAAAATCAAAATGATTTAAATCTTAAGTCAATTCTAAGATGAAGTTCAAATGATTTAAGTATTAAGTCTTTGAATTAAATCATTTTCTTTCAAGTCAAGTCATTTTCGCAAATTCTTAAATCAATATAAAGTGATTTAAGTCATCTTATGACTTAATTCCTTTAGTAAATCTTTTTTTTGACTTAAGTCTATATTTTTTATTTAAATCGTGATCTAAGAGTTAAGTCAATAAAATGACTTGAATCAAAAATTGTGATTTAAATCAAAATAATTACCCTTAAGTCAACGATACAATGATTTTTTAAATGTTAATAATTTTATGGTATTAATGATACTGATATTATTAATCTATTGTAGATACAGATAATAATAAACCACTATGTTAAGAATTTAAAAGATTTATTTTCAGAACACTTACAAACAAAATAAAAACTTAAAACACATTTTTTGAGTATATAGTAGACAATAAAAATAAAAACTTAAACCACCTTTTTTAGTAGAGTAGACATACAGGGAGGCTACTTTTTTATATACATAAATGGGTAACTTCTAAACGGTAATAGATTCAAACTCTGTTAAAATAGATAAAAGTTAAAGCATTTTTCTTAAAATCGCTGTATTTAAAAAACTGATAACTTGTTGTTTTGTTAACTTTTGTTAGCTGGTTCAACATCCATCTAGAATAAAAATATTCCTCCCTTAAGGGAGTAATGATGGGAAGTTCCAAACTCTCGATTCACGACCGCTCAGATTGTTTTCACTTTGCACTAATAATCACAAATTAGACATAACTATGCACGAACATGACGAATTTTGGCAAACAAAATAACAAAATTATAAATCCCCACTTTTTTTAATTCATTTTAGACAGGACATTTTTTAATGTAGCCGTCAAACGGTTCCAAAAAGCTAACTTTACCGCGGCGGTTTTTTTTTATCCACTATAGTGGTAGCAATTGTAGGTAGGAAATTAAAGGAGTTTTTGATCTGCTGCCGCGTGAACCCCTGGCAGTTCAAAAGAAAATGCCGCTGTTAAAAATTTATAAAAAAATATATAAAATAAATCTGACTTAAATATTTTCTAAAAAGACTTAAATCTATTTCAAAAAGACTTAAATCTTTTTTTGACTTAAATCGTTTCTATCTAACTTAAATCGTATGTACTGATTTAAGCCTTTTATAAATGACTTAATTAAGTTTTTTCTATTTTGAAAAAAATATTTAAGTCACAAATCATTTTGAAAATTACTTAAATTTTAAGTCTTAAGTCAATTTTAGAGAAATGACTTATTACCAAATGACTTAAGTCATTAAAACGATTTAAATCAAAAAAACGATTTAAGTTTTCTG